GGTTTGAGCCAAGCCTGGGCCTTCCAAACAGCAATGACAACTGCAGCCAAAAAATAGCCAGGCACAGGCAGCGCCTGTGGCTCAAAGGAGTAGGGTGCCAGCCCCATATACTGGAGGTGGGCTTAAGCCCAAAGAGTTTCAAGTTGCTGTGAGCTGTGATGGCAGAGCACTACTACCAAGGGCGGCATGGTGAGACTATGTCTCAAAAAATATAAAATAAAAATAAAAATAGAAAAAACTGAGGCAAGAGGATCGCCTGAACCTGTGTTGGAAGTTGCTGTGACCTATGATGCCATGACATTCTACCCAAGGTGACAACTTGAGACTCTGTGTCAAAAAAAAAAAGTAAAAATCATTTTTGTTGTTTCTTAATTTGTTTTGTTTTGTTTGAGACAGAGTCTCAACCTCAAATTGCTGGGCTTTGGCTGGTGTGGTAGCTCATGCCTGTAATCCCAGCACTTGGGAAGCCAAAGCAGATGGATTGTGTGAACTCAGGAGTTTTGGGGGTTTTTTTTTGAGACAGAGTCTTCCTCTGTCTCCCTCGGTAGAGTACCGTGGTGTCACAGCTCACAGCAGCCTCCAACTCTTGGACTTAAGCGATTCTCTTGCCTCAGCTTCCCAAGTAGCTGGGAATATAGGCGCCTGCCCAGTTATTTTTTTGTTGCGATTGTCATTGTTGTTTAGCAGGCCCAGGCTGGGTTCAAACCCACCACCCTTGGTTAAGGTGACCAGATTTTAACATTGGTAAAGTGGGACACCATTGACCAGGGGCAGGGGGGTTCTTATTTAAAAATTTGGTCTAGGCTTGGTGCCTGTGGCTCAAGTGGCTAAGGCGCCAGCCACATACACCTAAGGTGGCGGGTTCGAATCCTAAGCCCAGGCCCGCCAAACAACAATGATGGCTGCAACCAAAAAATGGCCAGGCATTGTGGCGGGCGCCTGTAGTCCCTGCTACTTGGGAGGCTGAGGCAGGAGACTCCCTTGAGCCCAGGAGTTGGAGGTTGCTGTGAGCTGTGATGCCATGGCACTATACCCAGGGGGATAGCTTGAGGCTCTGTCTCAAAAAAAAAAAAAAAATTTGGTCTATATGGAGCAACAAAAATTTTCGTAGACTGCAAAAATAGTACTGTAATATATTTTTTAAATTTCAATATAAGTACAATTTATAAATATAATACATTAAAATTATGTATAGTATTATTTTATTCTTTGGCATATTTCTCATTTGAGTGAATTTTTTTTAGTAGATTGCTGTCATTTAAAAGATCATGAAATTTTTCACAAGAATTTGTTAAATTATATTTCACACATAAAATGGCTTTCGAAATCTCAACACTTAATTGTGATTTTTCTGATGTCCACACTTTATTTACCGTAGAAAAAACACATTCAGTCACAGCATTAGTTCCTGGTAAGGACAGCGCATATCCCACAATTTTTAGTGCATTATTATATGGAACATGGTTTGTTTCAAAATGATGAAATATTTTAAGCATTTGTTCTCTATTGTGATTTTTGCTGATGCCCAAGATTTAACCTTTTCCTTATCAATCTATTTTTTTAATAATGATGCCTGGTAAGTCGTAAGTGTCACTTTCAAGACCGGGGCTAGACTTTTTGCCACCACCATAAAATGTAAATAATACGAGTATTATCTGCTAAATTCATGAAATAAATAAATTACTTACCTAAATAATCTGAATAGCTGATTTGTTGACATCACTTGTTTAACTAGCACTAGCATGCAGTACGATGTGTATCGTCTGAAAGACAGTTACAAAATGTTTTCATGGTTGCCAATGCCAAAAAATACCATTGTTCATTAAGTCCAAAGAATGGTGATCGAATTCTAACAACTCATCAACAATGCGAACTTTGATAAGCAGTTCTCCTCGGTAATGAGTTCTCAACAATTATTTGTTATTATTAAAGTTTAACATTATCGGCTAGGCACCTGTGGCTAAATCGGCTAAGGCGCCAGCCACATATACCTAAGGTGGCAGGTTCAAATCTAGCCTGGGCCTGCCAAACAACAATGATGGCTGCAACCAAAAAATGGCCAGGCATTGTGGCAGGCGCCTGTAGTCCCAGCTACTTGGGGAGGCTGAGGCAGGAGACTCACTTGAGCCCAGGAGTTGGAGGTTGCTATGAGCTGTGATGCCACAGCACTCTACCCAGGGCGACAGCTTGAGGCTCTGTTTCAAAAAAAAAAAAAAGTTTAATATTATCAAATTAGTAAAAATAATATAAAACTCATATCCTGGTGAAATAACCACATGGCAGCTGAAAACCGTCTATTCCCTTCCCCTTCTCCTGCCGTTCCCTAGCTTGTTGGGCATTCTTTCCAAAAATCAGCAATTTTTTAAAACACCATGGGACACGGGACAAATTGTTAAAAAGTGGGACATCTGGTCACCTTACCCTTGGTTTATGTGGCCAGCACCCTAACCACTGAGCTTTGGGTGCTGAGCCATGAGCTCAGGAATTTGAGACCAGCCTGAGCAAGAGTGAGATCCTGTCTCTTAAAAAATAGCCAGGTGTTGTGGCAGGCACCTGTAGTCCCAGCTACTTGGGAGACTGAGGCAAGAGGATTTCTTGAAGCGAGGATCAAGAGAGATCCTCTTGAGCCCTAGTTTGAGGTTGCTGTGAGCTCAGATGCCCCAGCATTCCACAGAGAGGAATCAAGTGAGACAGAGTCAAAAAAGAAAAAGAAAAATTATCGGGCTTAAGGGATTCTTCAATCTGGTCTCGAACTCATGAGTTCAGGCAATCCACCCACCATAGCCTCCCAGAATGCAAGGATTACAGGTGTGAGCCACCACACCCAAGGATAAAGGAAAAACCTTATTGTCTGGCATTTAGTTTTTTATCAGTTATAATTTTAAAGAAAAAATTATCTAGTCAGTCAAATTATATCTTTTATTTCAAATTTGCTTCAACATCTTTGAAAAAGAAAAGTAGGAATTCATCAAAATAAATCAGATACATGAGGTATAGAGACATTCTCACCATAAGATTTTTCAGCTGGGTGCAATGGCTCACACCTGCAATCCCAGCACTTTGGGAGGCTGAGGTGGGCAGATCGCCTGAGCTCTGGAGTTCAAGACCAGCCTGAGCAAGAGCGAAACCCCATCTCTAAAAATAGCCAGGCATTGTGGCAGGCACCTGTAGTCCCAGCTACTCCAGAGGCTAAAGCAAGAGACTTGCTTGAGCCCAAGAGTTTGAGGTTGCTGTGAACTATGATAATGACATGACACTCTACCAAGGGCAACAATGTAAGACTCTGTCTCAAAAAAGAGTTTTTAGGCTTAGCGCCTATGGCTCAAGTGGCTAAGGTGCCAGCCACATACACCTGATCTGGCCGGTTTGAATCCAGCCTGGGCCCACCAAACAACAATGACAACTACAACTAAAAAATGGCCGGGCATTGTGGCAGGTGCCTGTAGTCCCAGCTACTTGGGAGGCGGAGGCAGGAGAATCGCTTGAGCCCAAGAGTTGGAGGTTGCTGTGAGCTGTGATGCTACAGCATTCTACCCAGGGGGACAGCTTGAAGCTCTGTCTCAAAAAAAAAAAAAAAAAAAGATTTTTCAGGCTCAGCACCCATAGCTCAGCAAGCAGGGCACAGGCCACATACACCTAGGCTGACAAGTTCAAGCCTGGCCCAGGGCCTGCTAAACAACAATGACAACTGCAACCAAAAAATAGCTGGGCGTTGTGGCAAGTGCTACTTGGGAGGCTGAGGCTGAGGCAAGAGAATTGCTTAAGCCCAAGAGTTTTGAGGTTGCTGTGAGCTGTGACGCCACAGCACTCTACCGAGAGAGAGACATAATAAGACTCTGTCTCGGCTCGGCGCCTATAGCTCAACCGGCTAAGGCGCCAGCCACGTACACCTAAGGTGGCGGGTTCGGATCCCCAGCCCGG